TAATCCTACCACCTAGGACTCCCAAAGTGCTAGGATTACAGATGTGAGCCACCACCCTCACATGTCCTTTTTCTTCTGTGACAAGTCTCCCTGTGCCTCCCTTTCCATTCTGCTGGGCCCAGCCGGATAATCCAGGATAATCCCCCCATCTCAAGATCCTTAATTTAATCATAGCTGCAAAGTTCCTTCTGCATGTAACACTCACAGGTCCCAGGGATGGGACGTGGGTATCTTTGGGAGTCATATTCAGTCTACTACACCCCCCTCCAATAGCCCAACGAGGTGGGCACTATTATTATCCTCATTTTATGGCAGAAGACATCGAGTCCCAGAGAAGTTAAGTAACTTCCCCAGGGTCCCACAGCACAGGTGGCAGAGCTGGGATTTGAACCCAGGAAGCCTCGACCTGAGTCTATGAGCTCACCTGCTTTCCACCATGACTCTCTGAGGTCAGGTAGACCTGGGTTCAGATTCTGGGTTGGCTGCTGAGTAGGGGGGTGACTCAGGGCCAGTGCCATCCACTCCCTGGGCCTGTGCCTTCCTCTCTAAGACAGGTGTGACAGCGCCCAGCTCCTTGGCTGGCAGGGAGCGGCAAAGAGATCAGGACGGTTGGAGGGGAGCAGGTGGCTTGGCTGACTTTTGGATTCCTTGACCCTGCTGGGCCTCGTTTGTAAAGTGGAGACAACGCGGGCTCCCGTGGCCGCCCCGAGAGCTCTGGCGGAAAGGCTGGGTGCCCCGGGGAGGGATCTCAGGGTCTGTCTCACTCTGATCTCGTCTCCAACAGACATAAGGCTCAGTTTCACTTTTTAATCAGGGAGAGGCGACTGAATCCATATGGAGACACCACCTTTGGGCCACGAGATTGGCAAATCTCAAAAAGTGATAAAACGCAGTGTTGGTGAGGCTGCGGGGAAGTGTCCTCCTGTCCTGCTTACGTAGTAGAAACGGGCTTACGTAGTAGAAACGGGCAAAACTTCTTTGCTGAGCTCTGTCACCATCAGAGGTGGTCTTTGCTGTGAAGCAGATGGAGAGTGACATTCCAGGTGCCACACTTCCACAGCTCTGTCCAGCAACCGGGGAGATGCCCTTGCGGTCTTATTTTACTTCTTTATTCTTTTTTGTCCGAGAGTGCTTCCAAACTTGATAAGCTTCAGGCCCTGCATAACCGGGTCTGTCTCTGTTCATTTTCACTGTGAAGTAAAAATAAGGGTGAATTAAACTTTGAGTCAGAAACTTGTCTTCTTAGAAGCCATACTAATGGTCTCCTTTCACTGAGAATTTACAATGCGTCAGGCCTTGTACTTAGTACCTTACGTGTATTAATTCATTAATCCACTGAATTTTGCACACTGCATTTCAGAGAGAGGTGGTACCATCTGTATGAGGAAACTGAAGTCCAGCAAAATGTTGTACTGTACGTTGCCCAAGGTTACACCGCTGTTAGGTGACAGAGTGGAATTCAAACCCAGGCCTTCTGGCTTCAGAGTCCACACTGTTAAATTTGACATTACGTGCCTTTAAATAAAAGTTTTTGTTTTATTTTATTTTATTTTTTTAGAGACACGGTCTCTGTCGCTCAGGCTGGAGTACAGTGCTGTGATCATAGCTCACTGCAGCCTCCAACTCCTGGGCTCAAGCAATCACCCTGCCTTAGTCTCCAGAGTAGCTGGGACTACAGGCATGTGCCACCACACCTAGGTAATTTTTCTGTTTTTAGTAGAAATGGGAGCTTGCTATGTTGTTCAGACTGGGCTCCCTGGCCTCCTAAAGTGCTGGGATTACAAGCATGAGCTATCATGCCTGGCCATATTTTTATTTTTATAGAGACAGAGTCTCGCTATGTTGCCCAGGCTGGAGCACAGTGATGCCCTCATAGCTCACTGCAGCCTCCATCTCCTGGCCTCAAGTG